TCTGTGTCACAAGGAGAGTCATCATCCACATCTGTGTAACAAGGAGAGTCATCATCCACATCTGTGTAAGAAGGAGAGTCATCATCCACATCTGTGTAACAAGGAGAGTCATCATCCACTTCTGTGTCACAAGGAGAGTCATCATCCACCTCTGTGTCACAAGGAGAGTCATCATCCACATCGGTGTCACAAGGAGAGTCATCATCCACATCTGTGTCACAAGGAGAGTCATCATCCACATCTGTGTCACAAGGAGAGTCATCATCCACATCTGTGTCGTAGAGTCATCATCACATCTGTGTAACAAGGAAGTCATCGATATATCTGTGTCTGGGGAGAGTCATCATCACATCTGTGTAACAAGGAGTCATCATCCACATCTGTGTGTCTGGGAGAGTATCATCCACATATGTGTAACAAGAGTCATCATCACATCTGTGTCACAAAGTGTCATCATCCACCTCTGTGTCTGGGGAGAGTCATCATCCACATCATGTCTGGAGAGTCATCATCCATATCTGTGTGTCACAAGAGAGTCATCATTCATATCTGTGTCACAAGGACAGTCATCATCCACATCTGTGTCACAAGGAGAGTCATCGTTCACCTCTGTGTCACAAAGAGTCATCATCCACATCTGTGTCACAAGGAGAGTCATCATCCAGATCTGTGTCACAAGGAGTCTCATCATCCATATTTGTATCACGAGGAGAGTCATCATCCATATCAGTGTCACAAGGAGAGTCATCATCCATATTTGTATCACGAGGAGAGTCATCATCCATATCAGTGTCACAAGGAGAGTCATCATCCATATTTGTATCACGAGGAGAGTCATCATCCATATCAGTGTCACAAGGAGAGTCATCATCCATATTTGTATCACGAGGAGAGTCATCATCCATATCAGTGTCACAAGGAGAGTCATCATCCATATTTGTATCACGAGGAGAGTCATCATCCATATCAGTGTCACAAGGAGAGTCATCATCCATATTTGTATCACGAGGAGAGTCATTGGCTTTACTTGACACATTAAGATCATCTCATTCTGACTGCCATCTGTATCTGTCAGAGAGAGAGAGAGATTATCTCCCATATCTGTGTCGCAAGTAAAGGGAAAGTTAAAGGAGTTGTGGGAGAAAGTTAAGTGAAAGCGATGGTTCATCTGACGTAGAAGTTATCTGTTGTAGCTGAAGAAGGGGATTGAAATTTGGTGAGCGGGTCAGAACAGTGTCCTTCAAAGTGAACTTGTCGATAGTCGTGCTGGTGACCGGGGGAAAGAGGACTGGTGAATGCATGTGGGAGAACTGATAAAGCACTTTGTGGTTTCCATGATGGTGAACTTGAGTATGTTAAGAGTGAGTGTCATCTTCTGACAATATTTTGTTTTGTGGTTCCATCTAATGGTGAAGTGAGAATGTGAATGATGAGCAGCTGTCTTATAAAAAAAAAAAAAAAAAAAAAAAAAAAAAATATATATATATATATATATATATATATATATATATATATATATATATATATATATATATATATATATATATATATATATATATATATATATATATATATATATACACTAAAATTTTGAATGCCTGTAGTGATGGTGGTGTTTAAAGGTGATTGAATGTCTAAGAATTAATACCTTACTCCATATTTGCTGGTGATGGTGAAATGAGGATGCTAAGTGATGATTGTCTTAAAGGTTAAGTAATGTACATGTATAAATATTTAGCTGATGGTGAATGGATTTACTGGTAAGTAAAAGTCTTACTTGGTGATGATGGCTGGTGAAGCAAGATGGTGATTGATTTTCTGAAAGTTTATCTTGGAGTTTTTGGGTGATTGTGACATAAAAATAATGAGGCGAGCTTTGTTAAGCTGAAGTTTTGTGTATTTCGCTTCATAATGGTGAAAATAAGCAGGAAATGGTGAGTAATGATAATGCGGTATATTTAAAATGCAAAAAGTGAATAAATGCCTTCTCCAAAAAAATAATAATAATCATAATGGTGAAACAGAGACTGAAAATGTAAATAAATGTATGTGATGATGATATGCACATAGTGAGTGATTTGGTGATGAAATACCGTCGTGTTGATGGTGTTACGTGCCAGAGTTGCCAACTTAGCGACTTTGTAGCTAGATCTAGAGCTTTTTGTTTTTTTCTAGCGACATTTTAGAGCGATTTGCGACTTGTCGCAAATCTAGAGATATCCACAGAAATCTAGCGACTTTCTGGATACTTTTGGACTGTCCATGAAAACAGTTTTCCTAATTTCGAGCCATAATATATAGCAACGGGGTTACAGGGACAATAAATAATAAGAAAAGTTTAATAAATTTGAACGGGTCGTGGTACAGAAGGAGGGACACGTCTATTTCCTGATCACTTGATGTCAGCCCGTCCATGGCTAATTTTGCCGTGTCGTCATTTGTCTATTACCTTCGCCTTTGTAGCACCTGGGTAACTTACCTTTTTGTCAGATATGCAATATGAATTTCATTAATACGCTAAATTTTAAAGAATATTAGCAAAACATCTTATAGAATTAATTCTATCAAGCCTGCGTGGTTCCAAACTTCTCATCCGCGTCCACCATGGGTGACCCATAGACTCCATACAGTTGCCCCGCAAGTCGACACTGTTCACCCGCTGTGCCAAAAACCATCAAGTAAAGTTTCCGCTTGTTTGCATGCTGTTTATTTATTTGAACCCTTCATAGTCCCAATAGAAAATGGGTAAGCCACAGTATTCGCAGCGATTTAGGAAGGAATGGCTCAGAGATGACAGACACAAAAATTGGCTTCTGGAGGTGCCAGGAGATAATAAAAAAGGATTTCGTAAATTTTGCAAGTGTACTTTGTCTGCTAAGTTGTGCGACATTGAAAAACACAAAAACACTAAAAAACACAAGAAAGCAGAAGAGCCTGTAGTGGACGTCTCCCCTACAACTGCCTACAACTGCATAGCCACAGCCACCAGCTGCTACCGTCTTCCCTAGCAACCAAGCGTATCCCCATTCCAATGCCGCCGTATCCTAGCAACCGAGCCAAAAGACCGGCGACTTCTCGGGTTTTCCCAACATGACTCATAGCGGCTGCTGGGTATATAAGCTCTGTCTCTCCATTGAGATTGATTCTGACCATTCTTCTTGAACAAGGAACACCTCCTCCTCCGCCGCTGCCTGGCTCCCTTCGCTTCTCCTCGCCTGCCTGGCGGTCCTCGCTCCCGCCAGCGAGCATGGCGACCCACCAGCTGTCCTTCTCTGAGCTTCCTCACCAACCAACTCTCATTCTGCCCATCTTCCTGAACAAGCAACACCTCCAGCACCAGACTGTCTATAATATAACTTATATTATACAAGAAAACCACATTAGAGTTTCCTTCCATCCTGAGTGCTAGACAACATTAATATCTCGATACCCCTACAATGGTGACTCCCGGAGATTAGCACTCACACAGGATGGAGGAGACACTGATCACGCTCCCAGTCTTCAAGCAGACACCGGCTCCTCTTCCTGCCCCACGCACCACATTCTGACGACCCCAGCACACCCGTCCTGCCTCAGACGCCGACCCCGGCCCAGCAGTACCTGCCGTGAGGGAAGCACACAACATCCATCGCCTCCACACCCCCTCTTTTCTCCCTCAGATACTCCCTGCTAATGTCCTGCACCCTGCTGCTGTCGTGGACCCAGCTGTTGTCACGAGCCCTAATCAGCTTCTGCTGACCCAGCCCTTGCTCTTGATCCAGGCCCACACACACCCCAGCAGGCGCATCTGACGACCCTGTACCTGTCGTGAGGGAAGCACACAACATCCATCGCCTCCACACCCCCTCTTTTCTCCCTCAGGTACTCCCTGCTAATGTCGTGGACCCAGCTGCTGTCACGAGCCCTAATCCGCTTCTGCTGACCCAGCCCCTGCTCCTGATCCAGGCCCACACACACCCCAGCAGGCGCATCTGACGACCCTGTACCTGTCGTGAGGGAAGAACAACATTCATCGCCTCCACACACCCTTTTTCTCCCTTCTCCCACAGCTCGTGTGTATCTAGACAGTTGTATTTCAGCGATCGGCTCATCACGCCATCGCCGTTGTCTCACATGAGGCATGCACCGCCCGGTCTGCCTCACATGTGCTAAGCAACTCTACAGACAACAAGTCTCCTACACCGGCTGGAGGGAAGGGGGAGTATTGTAGTGGACGTCTCCCCTACAACTGCCTACAACTGCGTAGCCACAGCCACCACCTGCTACCGCCTTCCCTAGCAACCAACCAGATGTTACCGTATCTTAGCAACGAAACTAGTCACCGGCGACTTTCTGGGTTTTCCCAACATGATTCATAGAGGACTGGCGGCTGCTGCTGGGTATATAAGCTCTGTCTCTCCATTGAGATTGATTCTGACCATTCTTCTTGAACAAGCAACACCTCCTCCTCCGCCGCTGCCTGGCTGCCTTCGCTTCTCCTCGCCTGCCTGGCGGTCCTCGCTCCCGCCAGCGAGCATGGCGACCCACCAGCTGTCCTTCTCTGAGCTTCCTCACCAACCAACTCTCATTCTGCCCATCTTCCTGAACAGGCAACACCTCCAGCACCAGACTGTCTATCATATAACTTATATATTATACAAGAAAACCACATTAGAGTTTCCTTCCATCCTGAGTGCTAGACAACATTAATATCTCGATACCCCTACAATGGTGACTCCCGGAGATTAGCACTCACACAGGATGGAGGAGACACTGATCACGCTCCTAGTCTTCAAGCAGACACTGGCTCCTCTTCCTGCCCCAAGCACCACATCCTACGACCCCAACACACCTGTCCTGCCTCAGACGCTGACCCAGGCCCACACACCCCAGCAGGCGCATCTGACGACTCAGTACCTGCCGTGAGGGAAGCACACAACATGCATCGCCTCCACACCCCCTCTTTTCTCCCTCAGGTACTCCCTGCTAATGTCCTGCACCCTGCTGCTGTCGTGGACCCAGCTGCTGTCACGAGCCCTAATCCGCTTCTGCTGACGCAGCCCCTGCTCCTGACCCAGGCCCACACACACCCCACCAGGCGCATCTGACGACCCTGTACCTGTCGTGAGGGAAGCACAACATTCATCGCCTCCACACACCCTCTTTTCTCCCTCAGGTACTCCCTGCTAATGTCCTGCAACCTGCTGCTGTCGTGGACCCAGCTGCTGTCACGAGCCCTAATCCGCTTCTGCTGACGCAGCCCCTGCTCCTGACCCAGGCCCACACACACCCCAGCAGGCGCATCTGACGACCCTGTACCTGTCGTGAGGGAAGCACAACATTCATCGCCTCCACACACCCTTTTTCTCCCTTCTCCCACGGATAGTGTGTATCTAGACAGTTGTCTCACATGAGGCATGCACCGCCCGGTCTGCCTCACATGTGCTAAGCAACTCTACAGACAACAAGTCTCCTACACTGCCTGGAGGGAAGGGGGAGTATTGTAGTGGACGTCTCCCCTACAACTGCCTACAACTGCGTAGTCACAGCCACCACCTGCTACCGCCTTCCCTAGCAACCAACCAGATGTTACCGTATCTTAGCAACGGAACTAGTCACCGGCGACTTTCTGGGTTTTCCCAACATGACTCATAGCGGCTGCTGGGTATATAAGCTCTGTCTCTCCAGTGAGATTCATTCTGACCATTCTTCTTGAACAAGCAACACCTCCTCCTCCGCTGCTGCCTGGCGGTCCTCGCTCTCGCCAGCGAGCATGGCGACCCACCAGCTGTCCTTCTCTGAGCTTCCTCACCAACCAACTCTCATTCTGCCCATCTTCCTGAACAAGCAACACCTCCAGCACCAGACTGTCTATCATATAACTTATATTATATAAGAAAACCACATTAGAGTTTCCTTCCATCCTGAGTGCTAGACAACATTAATATCTCGATACCCCAACAAGCCGTTTAGTGCAGAAGGACAGACAATTTTACCATTCAAGAAACTTGGTGAA